CCCTCTCCCACTCCCCCTGCTTGTGTTCCCTCTCTCGCTGTGTCTCTCTCTGTCAAATAAATAAATAAAATCTTTAAAAAAAAAGAAAAGAAAATTCCAGAGAACAACCTCAGAGTGGTTACAGAACCAGACATTGGAAAGCTAGCATTGTCAAGAGAGTGAGTTTTCCATTACGTCTCTATTGATTGAGTAGATATCTCTAAATATTTAAGAAACTGGGAGTTAGGGATTAATTGATTTTGCACTAGAGTTGATTAATTCATTTTGCACCAGAGCTGATAAATTTGTTCTCATTAACATACTTGATATATACAGTAGTTAGACCAGAGAATAAGGCGGTTTTAGAATAGCAGTTTAAGTGAGGTATACATTGCATGTAAGATATTGAAATCATTTAATACAGTGAATGGAGAGCTAAGGATATGAAAGAAAGGAATTACCAAAAGTAGTTTCTCTCGTTAACTTCCTTTGATTTGAAGGAGATCAAATACCCTGCAAATCATCACTTTGTTAGACACCATCATCTCCCTGAATGTTTTGAATTTGCACATAAGAAAATAAAACATAAAGTGAAAGCCACCCAAAATGGTACAAATCCATGTTCCCTTGACATCATCCATGTCTCCATCTTATTTCAAATCTACACTGATGCATTCAGTGAATTCTGCCCTCACTCAGTGCCTATTGTCTCAAGATATCACTGTCAGAAGAAAGTCTTCCTTGGCACACATTCCCCCCAGCATGCTGCAATATAGTCAAATATGATGGTTTTCTGTCTTACCAACAGAACAATCCTTGGATGTGGAGATATTTATATTCTTTAGCTAATGCATCCTTTTGTTCATCACGTGAGACATTATATAGAAGGCTCCGTGGCAAGATGGTATGAGCAAATAGGTAGGTGGCTAAGTTAAGTGAGGATGTGATTACTGATCTCAAGGAACTTCTGAAGCAGAAGGGAAGAGAAAAATAGCATATAACTAGCCAAAATATCGGTCAGCTGGTGGTCCATTCTCTGTGATCCCTGTCCTTCCATACCCTGTGGTCCACTATGCCATCTGTACCTTGACTTATCCTTCCACCATCACAGATAGAGATGTGAGGAAGCCTTAAGGAAGGAACCACCTATGGGTTGGGTTTATAGACAGAGCTGGTTTGTGAAAGGTGGAAATACAGAGAATGGCATTCCATCTTTTCCTCCTCCCTATTTCTGTTCAGTAGCATTCTGCCCTCAGCCTTTTCACCTAACCTCTGTTGAAAGGAAAACCACAGGCTCAAAATGGAGTCACTATGTTAAAATCCCACGTCAGCAAACCAAGACTTGATACCTAAGCAAACTGCAGTTTCAACTGCCCCCCTCCCTCTGCCCCACCACCAACAAGGAATGCAACCTTTAACCAACCAACCTGGAGCTTTATGGTCAGCACCAGGGGGAGGTAGTCCATTTTTAGAATCCTTCTGTTCCCTTAGAATGCCTAACAGTGCATTCTCTGTTTATAATTCTCTTTTTTGTGGTCCTTCTGTGACTTTAAAAAACTTTCTTTCCTGGAATTTCAGTGGAGCTCCTTTCTATTTGCTAGATGGAATGCTGCCTGATTCATGTCATTGAATAAAGCCAATTGGATCTTCATATTTCCTTAGTTGAATTTTTGTTATTTAACACCTCTTTATGAACTGTTAGAATTTGATTCACTTATCTGATTTCAAATGCCAGACAATATTTCTAAAAGTTTACCCTGTGTCTCTTGTAGTTACCTATTTGGCATATGCCCCTGGATGGTCAGTAGCACAAATTCATTCTTTCAGTAATGGAACTAGTAATATTTAATCCATATTCTTCCCCATTTCCAAAAATCCCTTTCTTGGTTCCATTCCTTGCACCATCTTTATGGCTGTATGATTGTATACATCTCCAATAACCTCACTTCTTTCTTTTCCATGTAGGAAAAGTTCTGGCCATCCTTCAGTAACTAGCTGAAAATTTACTACTTCATTTATGAAAGAGGCAGTAGAAACAGCCTCCTGATTCAGAGTGTAATGGAGATTGAATTATAAAGAAATTATAATTAAAATTATAAAGTAAATACAATAGTTTTAATTGGTCTGTTGAATAAGTACGTGATAGACATCAGTGAAGGTGAGTCACTTTTTAACAAGAGACTCAAAATATGAGCAGAACCTTGTGAAGTCCAAAATATATCTAATCCTTCAAAAATAGAATGCAATGAGATAAACATAGTCACTAGTCTTTTAAATAAAAAATAAGGTATCTGTTATCTACCAGGCTCTGATATATCTGGTCCATCTTGACATTACAGATTTTAAGCCAGTTTAATTATCAACTTGTATCTGAGCAAAAATTCACACAAACAGAAGCCAACTCTAAAATTCAGGCAGTAATTCAGATACAGATATCTGAGTGCACTAAAAATGCCTGTTCTTGGACTTTACCGTAAATCAACTGAATAAGAATTTCCGGGGATAGGCCCTGGACATCTGCATTTCAAATAAAGTTTGTTTGCATAAAAATCTGGGATGCCTGAAAGCCATTCTACTCTATTCCATTTCTTCCTTTAGGTGTTTGCAGTGGTTAATGGCTTGGCCCAAGCCCTTAGAGGCTCCACCGGGGAAGCTATTATGCTCTGGGTTCTGTAATCCAGCAGGGGTAGCAGCTGATAGCAATTTTCCTGCATAATTCCTTCTTTTCTGGCTTAGTGGTAAAATAGCTACGAAAGAAGGAGGGAAAGATGCAAGAAAATGTGGCATCCTACAGCGAGCTTAAGTCCAGTGTTTGTCCTTGAATCATTTTAAAAGTTTAATATGTTATATTAAAACAGCTTGGCTAAACATATATCTTTGGGCAGAAGTCTTAATATACAGTGAAGGCAAGAGGATGGAAGGCAGTTATGTAGATAAAATTATCATTCAAGCAGTGGTCACATTATCATTCCTCCCACGTTGCTGAGAATGGCACGTGCTTTTGAATCTTAAAATCCACATTCTTTATAGTATTGGAAATAGTACTGTTTTGATCATACAAAAATGACTTTACATTAAAGGTCAAGCTGATTTGCTTTTCCTCAAATACACCCACATATTAACAGGTTAAAATACAGATGGAGAGAGCAGAAATAAAATGATCGAAGAAGAAGATACCTGTGTAGGTCACCCTTATGATTGAAATAGAAATCACATCAAACTCATTCAAACTCTTTTTATTGAAAATGTAATCTGATAAAATTCCCTATTGTTACACACTATAGAGAAATCTGAATACATTTTGAAGTCATGCATGATTTCATTTTAATACTTTCTTTTAAAATAAAAGGGATTTTTTTGATGAGTCTTTTAAAATATCCTCAAGATGATATTTGATTTTCCAAGCTTGCCATCCCCCATTGACAATGGATGTGTAGTATTTTCTGGTACTGGGCAGTGATATAAAGATCCCTACCATCAAATACTCCACATTTTGGAACTATAAGAGGTGTGCTTCACAAGTACGAGTTTAGGGGGATTTATTCCATTTTCAACATTCTAATTCCTGAATAACTTATCTTAGGTATAATTTCTTTAGGATGTATTATTTCAGAATCCTTCTGAATATCATATTAGATAATATTCAGGCTCTGGAATCATTCCTAATTGTGTTTGCATCCCAGTTTCGTTACTTACCTGGTTGCGTTTTAAAATAATTTCCCCAAGGTCACAGCAAATACTCTTATTGTACCCAAAGTACTAATTAAGGAACTGAAGGTCAGAAGGTCTTTGAGGAACAAATGTGTTTTTCCATCTACAGCGTATTTTCAGGGTATGTCTTGTGTAAAGTATTAATAAAACCTAAAATAATAGTGGTTTTTATTAATATATGTAAGGCTATCAGTTACCTTAACTTTGAAAGGAAGCTAAGATCTGTAATCTTTTAAGAATATTTGGATTTCATACTTTGTACTTTACAGAGAATTTCTACTTGAAAGCTTCAAAGTTGGAATATGAAGTAAAATATAAAGAATTGAGGAAATACATGTTAAAGAGTAAGGCTGTTCAGGATGCACACTGAGGAAGAGTTTCCAGAATGGAATATGATGAGGTTCTTATAGAATCCAGATGCAGTGTCAGTTTGCAATATCAGGTTTCCAAGGAAAACTTCCACTTAATTAGTATAAAAAAATCAGTCATTGGTTTTAATAATCCAGATTTTGATTTAAAACTTTATCTTAATCACAGGCAGGCCCAGTGAACTCACAGTTTCCTATATTATCTAAGAAAAAGCCAAGAACCACTAGGAAATTGCTACAATTCTGAGCCAGGTTCCGAAAATCCACTGATGACAGTTCCTAAAGAGAAAACTGTCCAATGAAAGTTTACATCTTACTTCCCCAGTGTCTAGTGCACACAGTAGGTGATGTTAAATTGCATGGTTTTTCTATTTTATCTTTAAGCCTTTTCAGCACAAGATCATTGGTATCATTTGAAAGATTTCTTTTTTTGTCTTGAGGCCTCTTCCTTCCTTCCTTCCTTACAGTATTTTCACATGTATATGTCTCTACTGACTGGGAACACAAATATTCCAACAATTAAGGGGAAAATTTGAGAATTCTCTAGGAAGCTTTGTCCATGTCATTTTAGGATGCGTTTTATCCATCAGTAGAGAGCTCACTTCTTTAAAATGGTCTGGTTTATGCCAGCTCTTCTTTCTCCAACTGAATCAAGATTGTTCTAGGAAGAATATACAACATCTCCCCCCACCGTTTCCAAATAGAATGATATTTATATTATATATTTCTTTGATGGTGCTAGCCTTGCCTTTACTATTTTTGTTCTTGTTGTTGCTGTTACAAAATAACAATTATGACAAGTATACATCATTCATATACAACTTTTACTCTTTCTTTCCTAGGAATATTAACCCAACTGGATTATTATCCTCGGAAGCAATTTGGAGCACATTCTACAACATTGTTGGTGAGTTTTAATGATGAGACATCTCATTTTAATATTTAAAAAGTACTATTCAATGTAATTTGAAAGTTCTCAAGTCAAGAAAAACCCAAGGAGAGAATAATGGTCTCATTGCGTTGAAGACACATAGATGGCTGTTTGGATTTGTAGGGGTAAGTACCAGAGAGGAGGAATGTGTGCAAAGAGAAAGATTGAGGAAAGTGATAAAAAAGGAAAAAAATTGAAAAAATTATATTATTAAAATTCTTAATATAAGAAAGCTTTGTTAATAGTAGCTATATTAATATAATAAGAAAAGTTGAATGCATATTAGTATAAAACAAAATTTTAGAACAATGAAAATTATCAGTGATAAAGAGGGCTATTTCATAATTATGAACAGGTCAATTCAAAAAGAAGGTTTAATATGTGATGATCAGCTATACTTAAAAAATACATAAAACAAAAAATGACAGAATTGAAAGTAGCAATAGACCAATCCCATAATACTTCGAGATTTCAACACTCCTTTCTTAGTAATTGATAGAACATCAGGAAGAAAACAGTAAGGTCACAGAATACCTGAACCTGATAATTGTATATAATTTGCCATTTATAGAAAATTCCACTCAACAACAGGAAAAAGCATATATATTTTTTTCAAATGTATAGGAACTATTCACCAAGATAGTCTAGATTCTGGGCCATAAAAGGTTCCAATGCAAAAAAAAAAAATTGAAATAAACAAGTTATGTTCCCTGATATGAAATAATTAAATTAGAACACAATAACAAAAATATATGCAGAACATCACCAAAAATCTGGAAATAAAGCTCCATGCTTCTAAATAATCATGAATCAAAGAAGAAATCACAAGGGACATTAGAAAATATATTTGGCACCGAAGGAGAATGTAAACACAACCCATTAAAATCTGTGGGATGGAACTAAAGAAATACCTAAGAAAAATTTTAAGTGTTAAATTGCTTATATTAGACATAAAGAAAGTCTTAAAATCAGTAACCTAACTTCCACCTGAAGAAACTAGAAAAAGAAGAGCAAATTAAGTCCAAATATATAAATGAAAGAGTTTAACAAAAGTATGAGTATCAATGAAAGAGTAAATAAACAAAAAATATAAATAAAATGAAATATTGTTTACTTGTAAATATCAATAAAACCTATAGGGGTGCCAGGGTGGCTCAGTCATTCAAGCATCCAACTATTTCAGCTCAGGTCATGATCTCAGGGTCCTAGAATCAAGTCTGGCATAGGGCTCCCTGCTCAGTGGGGAATCAGCTTGTCCCTCTCCCTCTGCCCTTTCTCCTCCCGTGTATACTTGCTCTTGCTCTCTCTCTCGCGCATGCACGTGTGTTCTCATAAATAAATAAATAAATAAATCTATCTTAAACAATAACTTATAAAACTTTGCCTAGACTTAATATATGAATTTGACAAGTAAAAGAAAACACAAATTATAAATTTGATGTGTGAAGTAGGGCAGTGATATAAACAATTTCATAACAATGGATTCCATAAATGAGATGAATTGTACAAGTTTCTTGACATTCAAAAAGTGCCAAAACCATTCAAGGATGGAAGAGAAATTTTGAATAGCCTTATATCAATTAAAGAAACTATACTAATAATTAAAAAGCTTACCATAAAGTAAACCACAATCCCAGATGGCTTCACTATTGAGTTCTACCACACACTATGGGACAATATTATACCAAGTCTACACAAAATCTTCTATAATATAGAAAAGGAGAAAATATTTCCCAGTTTATTTTATGAGGCCAGCATTACTCTGATACCTAAACCAGGCAAAATTATTGCAAACACACACAGAGACACATCACACATCAATATCCCCCGTCTTATGAAGTTAAATGTCTCACAACCAGCTTTTCTGAGGTAAGGAAAAAGACACTGATTTCTAGCTTTTGCCAATTTTTGTGATGTAGGTATTTCAACTATGGTTGATTTCAAGCAAACAGCCCAGTATCACCCAGCTCCCCAAATTCCTGAAATCTTAGAAATCCAGTCTCCTGGGGCACTTCCAAAGAGGAGCAGCAGAGCGCCAGATATCTTTTGTTTACCTACATGGGAAAATTCTTAAGAAAATTTCAGCAATTTGAATCCAGCAATATGTAAAAATGATAATGACACTGCCCAGTGGTGCTACTCCCAAGAATACAGTTTTGTTTTTCTTTTAACTCTGAAAATTAGTTGCCAGATTGATAAAGGAGAAAAATCACATGATCGTTTCAGTAGATGAATTTGACAAAAGCTAACACTCATTCATGATAAAAATTATCAGCAAACTGTGAGTAGATTTTCCTCAACCTAATGAAGGTTATCCATAAAACCTTACAGTTAACGTCATAGTAATGTTGAAAAATATGCGTAGTTTTTCCCAACGTTAGCAACACGCAAGATTGTACTCTTGTTTTCAACATTCTGCTAACCGAAAAATTAAGGGAAGAAAAAGAAATAAAAGACATACAGATTATAAGAGAAGACATAAAGTTGTTTTATTCACTAACAACATAATACTGAACATAAACAGTGCTAATTAATATGTAGGATATTCTCATGGTTCCACAAAGTGCCTTCATTTTCTGGTGCCATGTGTATGCAAGGGTTTGCCTATAAAGAGAGATGAGGGTACTCTGTGGGTGATGATAATATGATAGTGATATGGGTGTATGCATTTGTCAAAGTTTTTGGCCTCTACCCTTAAAAAGAGTGTTTATTGTAGGTCAGTTAAACCTCAATAAAGACTTCAACAGTTTCCCAATTCATTTACAACATCTGCCTCTCCTACACTTCATTTTGCTTCAGGAGTGGGAATATAGCCTTCCCAAAGCAGGATATTTAGTTGTCCTCCCTCTCTATCCCTCTAATTCCTTTTTCAGTCAGGTGTCTGCTACGCCTGCTTCTGACTATTCCATGATCTGCCCAGGGGACACGTGGATCAAGGAAAAGGGTATAATCTTGCATGGCTGATACAGCTATAATCTGTCACTGGTGCCTTGTGAGAGCGGGCTGTAAAGTGTGGTATTTTTGCTTATTGGGATTTTTCTTTTCTTTTCTTTTTTTTTTTTTAAAGATTTTATTTATTTATCTGAGAGAGAGAGAATGAGAGACAGCACGGGAGGGAAGAGGGTCAGAGGGAGAAGCAGACCCCCAGCTGAGAAGGGAGCCTGATGTGGGGCTCAATCCCAGGACCTGAGCCGAAGGCAGACGCTTAATGACTGAGCCACCCAAGCGCCCCTAAGAGACAAGTTTTGTTTTTTTTTTTTTAATTTTTTTTTTTAAGATTTTATTTATTTGCGAGAGAGACAATGAGAGACAGAGAGCATGAGAGGGAGGAGAGTCAGAGGGAGAAGCAGACTCCCCACCGAGCAGGGAGCCCGATGCGGGCCTCGATCCCGGGACTCCAGGATCACGACCTGAGCCGAAGGCAGTCGCTCAACCAACTGAGCCACCCAGGCGCCCCAACTTATTGGGATTTTTCATGTGTTCCTCAGAGACTCTCCCACTGGCAGCACCTCTGACTTTAACTCATTTGATGTAAATGGTGCCTTTTCCTGAAAGTTCCCAAACTGAGTTCTCAGGCTTATTCTCTTTGGGTCCTTCTATCCTTCTAGGAGTGGAAGTTCTTTTAAGATGATCCCACGTTCAGCTGCCACTTTATACAAACTAGAAAATGGCACCACACATCAGTGGATTAATTGCAACAACCCCCAATCCTGGAATATTAAAACATGGTTGGTTTTGGAAACGTAGTTGGATGGCATTTTAGCCTCCATATCAGTACACATCTGTCTGTTTTTTTTGAGGTGATAGAACTGTTCTAAAATTAGATTGTGGCGACTGTTGCATAACTCTGTAGATTTACTAAAAATCATTAAATTGCTCCAGAAAATGGGTGGATTGATTATATGGAATGTATATTATATTTCAAAAAGCTATTTAAAATTTTGAAAATGAAAAAGGATACTCTCACTTTTGTATTAGCATTCACATAGGAGAGTCATATATACTATCCCTTTGAAGACTGGAAGAATAGTTGCAAAGTCAGTCATGCCCTAAGACCTATCTATAGAACGTTCCTTTGAGCAACACTGTGCATGGATTGACAGCTGATAATATTTGGCTCCTAAATTTAGGAAAATCCCATGTGGTAGCCTGGATGATCCTACCAGTAGGTGTAATGCCTTCCAAAACTGTAGAAAACTTCACTGAATTTCTGGGAAAATAATCTCCCCAAGTAAAGAAGGATAAGCTCCTAAAATATTCCTTTTTTTTTTAAATTGATATTCACAGAATTCAGTAAGTAGGTTCTACTGTTTAACTTGCCCTTCTATAACAGAAAGGAGCTTAGTTTTTGTTTTTTTTTTAACTTGTGAAAAGTGAAATCTAAGCAAATCTTCTGAAGAGTTACAGCATTTTCCTTTTACATAAAGCCATTTAAGACCAAAAACAATTTCTGTGGACATTTAACAGCTCATTAATTTTTAGTGATCAGAAGCAATGAGAGTTTATTAAGAAAAAAATGGTAACTTTATTTTATTTTTTAATTTGAGTTGGAAAATATTAAAAATCTAAGGATAAATGAAACTGGTTCCAAAAGACTCCCAAGAGATGTCATATGTGGATTTTCTGCTAATTGCTCTGAATTCTTACTTTTAAACACGCATTTGCCAAGATCTCAATACCCACCACAGCATGTAGAAGCAATACTTAAATTCTTGTGTTGCTTTTGTTACCATGTTTTTACAGTTGGATATTTTTCAGGTTTTCAAAATTTCCTCTTACAGTATCTCCAATTAAATCTTCCAGTTCATTATAATCACGGTGTTTTTGCTGGATTACTCTTCTCCTTTCCCACAACCCTTATTTAAAGACAAAGCCATTGAAAGAAAAATACAACAGATGTGTTTTTGATGTACATTTGTTTCAATGTAAATTCTTGTTCTTGTCCAATAAGCCAATAGAACATCTCTAATGATCCT